ACTTCACTTGTGTGTAATATTTAAGAGATATCTGGCAACAGCATTCTCTGTGCTTTATCCTCTGTCCTATTGTTGCATCTTGTTTTCTTAACTGGGTTTCAGCGCTATCAATGAAATTGCTATTTCTTCATATATGGGGAAAACAAGTTGCTATTTCCTTCTACAACATGGAGTACATGGAGTCCAAATTCCATCCTCTACTTTCTGAGGAGTGGAGAATATTTTCTGATAATCTGTTCTAGCTTTTCCAATGGTTGAAAGTTAATTCCTTAGTCAGCCGTGTTCGTAGTCAGTTAATAAAAAGAGAATGTTCTTTCAGAGATGCTTAAAAAGGTGGAAAGCTTTGCTTTCTTTCAAGTCTGAAAAGGAAGGCATGGTCATTTTAAATGTAACCTGTTCATACACACATTGAAAATTTATTTGAATATGATTTTATAAATAATTTTATGGAATACACAACATACTTTGATTGCTAAGAAATTAAGCGTATGATTGAAAACTTTTGAGAGATTAGTTATTTTCCTCATTTTTTTCGAGTACAGATATAAGCAACCATTTATTTCATATCCTACATTATAAATGTAGGATTGCCAGTAAAAGTCTCCAGCTTAGCCCACGTGCTCCTCAATGTCAAAGAGAAAGGAGATGTCTGCCTTCTCCTGCATTGCCTTTTGGGAAGTGGGATGCCAGACTTCAAAAAGTTGTTTTTGAAGGTAAAATATTGGATAGAAACCTTCCTCTATTGTTATTGTTTTAGAACTGTTTATAACGCATTTATTCTAATTTGTCAGCAACCTGTCATGCAGTGATCTGGGTTGTTAGATGATGGCCTAAGACAGAAGCTCTAGTTTTAGTACTAAAATACATCAACGCTGAAGACAGAGGTATTTGGAAAGGCAGTCTTTGATAAAGCTACATTAACTGATAGGCAAAATAATTGATAAAAACATAACTTTGAATTTCCTTTAACCACAGTTGTGGTTATCCACAGATGAGCTGATTAGACTTACTTAGGTAATGCTCATTTAAATAATCACAAAAAGAGAGTCTTTGGGCAGTATCTCTTTTAACAGAACATAGTAAGTATGTCCATAAAATCTCACAAGTTCTCACTGAGGTAATAAATTTAAACTTACATTTTCCAAATGGTTTACTTTTTTACCAAGAGATGTGTGTTTATATTTTGTAGCAGAAAATTTCACAGGAGAATTAAATGAGGGAAATATATAGATTATAGAAAGTTAATAGAAGCAGTCCTGTCACTAGGATCAAAGGAAATGGCTATAGAGCTTTCATTAATTGCTTTTGAGCTTTTTCCACTAGAGTACAAAGATATTTTTTTATCTGTGTTGATCTGAGCAATCAACTGAAACTTAAGAGCTGATGAATTATTTTGGTAAAGAGAAATTGCTGCACTATGATTATTGCTAGTACCATTCTACTTATCAAGTAGAAGAAAGCTCAGCTTCTTAAATATAGGGGAAATCAGCTATTGTTGAGTCATTTTTGTTTATTTACATTTTGTGGTTCAGGGTCCTAAACATCTTTCCAATCAGTATTGCACCCCAGATGCAATCTCATGATTTTTCTCAGATCTTGTTCTCAGTACTAATTCTGCTGTTCTTTAAGTTTCTTGCTTACCTTCATGTCTTGGAGGGTGCCTTGCGGAGACTTAGAGAGGTTGTCAGCAATATACAGAGACAAGATTTTATTCCCTTGCATATGGGTAAGCCACTACTAGTCAGAATATAGCGTTGCAGAAGTGAGTGTTTGCACAGGAGTAAGTGGTTTAGTAATGTTGTATTATAACTTTTTTAAAATTACCTTTGGAAATAAAAATATTACCGTAGGAGATAATTTATGCTGACCTGAGGCAAGCTATTCTCCTCTTCTTTTATTGCTGAGTCACTCTTATCTATTTTTCAGAAGGACCATTTGTCTCCTTCTGTGTATATGTATTTATAGGCTGTGCACATGCATTTACAAAATGATTTCGGCTGGAAGTGAATTCCAGAATTATTCTGGAAGAAGTTTGAAAGTGGCAGCTTTCAAGAATATCCACAATGATTGAGGTGGCACCCTGATTGCCACTGTCATCAGCATTAAAAAGAGAGTATCAAGGTTGTTAGGCCTTAGGTGTACTCTCAGAGAATTAAAAAAGCGGGGTCAAGTCTGGCCTGATTTGGTTCCCTAGTGCACTTCAGAGCCTCCTAGGGCTTCACTAGCTGGCAGCTGTTACTGAAGATGGCTACAGCAGCCAGGAATTTTGCATACCAAGGCACATATCACCAGAGACCCCATAGGAAGGAGTCCGCGGCTAGTTGGGTTATCTTTCACCATAGATGAAGTGGCTTTATGTTGAGGCAGTAGCACAGTCTCTACATGGAAAAGTTAAAATTCGTAAGAGTTTCTTTCTCTAAAGGGATATACGTAGTGTTCACGGAGATGCCAGTTCACTATTTTCAGTGTTATAATGTGAATGACTGTAAGCCAAACTTCATTAACTGTGAGTTACTCGAGAACAATTACTACAACTGTATAATAATAATGTTAAACTAACAAAATAGGATCTAGGTGAATTAATTTAGAACCATTAACTTCTACTTTCAGCTTCTGCTTATATTTCAAAGTAAAGAAGGACACTCAAACTTGAGTAAAATGCAAGCTATTTGAGTCAATATAGTTACATTAGGGATGGTTTTTCCAAATTTTTTTTAATTTTTTTTTTCTCTTCTGTAAAAATTCAACCAGTAGCAATATGTTTAAAAATGTATTGAGGATCTCCTTCTGAGTGTCCTGTGTGTTTAAGAAGATGGATTGAGTATTCCAGTAGGGCCTTCTCACTGTATCAACATGAGTAATTTTTAGGTGGTTCTAGAATTCAGAGGAGTTATGAAGTAATGACTTTTTGGGTTTGTCAGTTGCACTAGTTCTTTTTAATTCGAGAAATGAATTTTTTTTTGTCTGCATAAGTTTGATGCTAGACCAGTTCCCATTTTAGTATTAATCTGGGAGCAACTGATTTATAGTCATCCATCCCACTTTACACTTGCATCAAATACGTATTTTAATAAAAAGCCTGGTTATTACTTTGTGGTCTTAATTGTTTAAAAATCACCAAGGAGGCTACTGTACGTTTATTAGCTGGAAAGGTCTCTAGTATCTGAAGAAAAAATCATGCATGATTGTTTTGTTTGATATCAAAACACATTTTTACTGTCATAATACTGGCGCATTTTCAAGGCATGCTGTTTTCTGGCTGCTAGCAGGGAGTAATGGAAACAATGCAGTGATTGAGCAATTTCTTGAAAATAAACACCAAAAATACTTAGGCAGGCAATGTTTTTAATTTAATAGGGACTAAGATTCATAAGGCTGCGTAAAATAGCTGTTTCAGTACCACAGAGGTATTTAAATGCCTTGCAGCTTGTGGCTTGTTTATTATTTCTTTTTGGCAATTTTCCTTTGGATCACATTGTGATGCTTCTTCTGAATAGCGATATTGCTTGTTGAGGAGTGGTCATGCAAGCAAAATTTGATAACCTCGATATGTCACTTCATCTGTTGTTTTTCTTTTGTTAATGCAAAGCTGGTTGCATAATATCTAATTTCTCCTTTAGCTGACCAGAGCTAAAAACAAAATCTATAATGGCAGTGCTAGGTTTTATTAAAACGCAAGTGAGGAGTTGAAGGATGTGGCTTGTTCTGTTTGGATGATGCAGGATTGCTTTAAGCAGTAAGCTTACTGTTTTCAGATGGCATTAGCAGCATCAGTGATATAGCTGTGTCAGCCGCCTTGACTATTGGATGTCTGTAATCGCACAGAGGAAACTATATTTAAGATCTGATATCTTGAGGGTAATGACTTCTGCAGTTACTGATGGACAGAATGGCTGTTGATGCTTTCTTCGCTAGCCCAGAGGATTCTGAAAGACAGATGCGTTTGTGATATACTTTTATAAGCCAGGAAATGCAATTTTGGGGGGTTTCTGGAAATAGAAAGGTTATGCAGCTTGGAACCGGTGAGACATTACAGTCTCTAAGTCATCAGGTATGACCTCATAGTTTATTACTAATATTTCTAACACAAGGGTTTGTTTTGCAGTTTTAGGTCATTTACAATCTCTTTGTCTGTGTAATTGCTTCATGTTGGATTTACTACAGGATTTATGAGGGAGACTGTTTACATAAGCAGAGGGATGTATACCTTGGAAATTTAATGTGTTGTTAATTTCTGTTTGAACGATGTAAGGTTATTCCATATATATTTTCAATTTGCTTTTATTGTGAATATAATTTCTTTTAACTAAGTCATGGTAAAAGGTTATACCTTTGCTATAAAGTATGATGATAAAGAACAACGAGATAGTATTGCATTTTATTTTGTTTTATCTGTACTTGGCACACTTAATACTATTATGTGAATGTGTTTATTTGTCTTATGAAACACAATACAAGGCAACTGTTTACCTACAGTGGCAGGTTATTTAAAACAGTGTATCACATTGTGTGACAAGAATGAGCTATTCTGCAGGCACAGACCTTGCTTCATTTTGCAGTAGTGGCTTTTTTTTTTTTTTGCTTCATTTCAAATCAGTTTTAAAAATAGCTCACTGAACATAACAGTGAAAGTTTGGCAAGATAACTCTCCCCTTTTTAATTATTACACTCAGTGACACTGATACTAATGGGTGGTAAAAGAGAATTCTTAAATATTTAGAATGCTACTTGTTTAAAACCAAATTCATTTTATTGAAGTATGCCTCATCCTTTTTGTTTTTAACTGTCAAGAACTTTATTGAAAGGCTGATACTTTGAGATCTGATGTTTTGTGGGGACGGACTGGAAAGTCAGAGCATGTAAGTGAAAGCAAGTGTATGGATATTTTAAATAGGAAGATAGTGGCCTAATTTTATGTATGGAGTATAAAATGGAATTGGAGATACTGTTATCACTTTAGCTATTTTTATAAATGATAGATAGTCACCGTTGAAAAGAATTCTGTTTTGCTTCCCTTGAGTACAGCATATGGCAATTATATTCGAAATTGTAGAAGTTTATTTTTGCAAATGATATTCAGCTCCATCTTAGCAGATTCTAGACGTTTTTGTAGAACATTTCCATGGCAACATATTTTGCTTTGTGTTTTAAAAGCTCAGCTGAAGACTGAAAGTAATGTGCAATTTTTCTGTTGCTTGTTTTACCCTTGTCAAACAGCAACATTCACATGTTCACATGAACAGCAGCTAGGCAGGGGTGACTTGTATTTCCTGACCCCACAGCACAGGATTAAGTGATCGAGGATTAAAAATATTTTTATATTTCCACCTAGGAATGTAAACATGTAAAACAGGGATTTAATTTTCGCATTTGAAAATATATTCTGGTTTCACGACAGTTTAATAATGTTTTGTTGGAAATGTAGGTGTGTGGGAGACCATAGAAGACCAAACTTCAGAATGTGCAGCAAACTGTTTCAGTAAAAATGGCTATCTTTTTATTTTTAATTTAAAACATATTTAAAAACAACGTAGTACTTACTGATACTGGCCATAATTTATAGGTTTCCCAGTCTACTTATCCAGCTTAAATTCTTATTAATAATGGGGAAAGACTGCCCTACTCTTCAAGCTTGATTAGGTTTGGAATGGTTTAACTATACCTTTCACTTGCTACAAGATCTCTTTAATCTGTTAGAATTTATTTTCAGTATTTTAATGTATTAGTCACAATGAGTACATTCTGTTTCTTGGCATTGGTATGAAATTCCTGAAAGTATTGGTTTTGTGTTATTTTGGTGCTTTGCAGGGTGTTTATGGCCTTTTCAGTAGGACTAACACTCCCCCCACCCCCAGCTTCTCTGTTTTTCTTATTCAAGTGTACTTTAAAATCTTGATTTACCTGTATTTTGAAGTTGTTTCTGAAAGCTCCTTTGCTCATGTAAAATAATTAGATCTCCCTGGAATTTCGCTAGAGTGGAAACTAGAAGTATGCCATGTGCTTGACCTGGATTCTTTTTAATCATATATATTAATTCTGCAGGCTGTGTTCTGTGGATGTTTTTGTAATGAAACATTAATTGTAAGTTTCAAGTAGCCCTAACATCAGTTTTAGTCAGTTTAGTACAGAAACTGTATCTACAGAGAAGAATAATGTTTAGTTGATTACCTGCGTATTAGGGCATCCCTACTTTTTGAAATAGTATTACTATTATAGGTGAGCAGCACTTGAGTCTGTTCTTTTACTCAAAAGACATTCTGCCATTTTAGGTGCTTCTTCATTTGGAAGGGCTAGTGAATAGTATCCCAAAGAAATATATTGAGGAGGTGAAGTTCATTCTTAAGATAAGGAATTGCAACAAGGTAGCAATATACATGAGAGCTGGGAACTAGACTAAAGTGATATGAAAACTTAAACATATAGAAACCATTCTACTTGTTTTAAAAAAAACCAGAAGGTATAAAATATATTTCCTAATATTCCAGCACAAATTTGGAGCCATTGAATCCAGTGACAGTGTGTTGGTATCACTTAACAAGTTTGTTAATACATTCTTCAAAAATATGCCTCCCTTCCCCAAAACAAATTGATTGCAATTATCAGTATTTGGAAAATGCTATGTTAAGAAAGATTACTCTAAACTAGAGATTCCCTTCCCCTTCACCAGGAAATAAGAATGCGCATCACTGAGTATATATATAATTTCCCGATTTTGAACCTTTTTTATTTACGGAAATTGATAATGATTTTGTAAAGGGACAAAGCACTGTGTGGATGTTTTAGGAACCATGTTAACGAGGAAGTTGGGTGAGGAGCGCAATGTTTGTTTTATTTACCAATCCTAAACATGTATGCTCACACGCCTGCACAGTCATATATGCTTTTATGATTGATTGCCATTCTCATTCCACATTACCACTTCTTTTCACACCTGACAGTGCCAATTTTTAAGGAAGTGGCAACACTAGGGCAAATGGGAGATTATGACCAAACTTTTACCAATGGCGAAATAAAACTGGCTACAAGCAAAAAGTGCTTTCAGAGCGAGTTGAAGGAATTCAAGTCCTACCATCCTACGTTGTCCTCCCTCCCAGGAGAAGATGGTCCTATTCTCTGGTCAGATTCTTCCCATTAGTACTTTAATTCATGTACCAAGTTATTGGGCCTAATGACTGGAATTAGGGAAGGCATGTCATGAAGGCCTACACGTAACATAGCATAGCATAAATATGCAGTTGATAACTGTAGGGTCACAAAACATGTAGCCAAATGACTCTACATCTATCAGTTTTACTGTTCCAAGAATATCACCATCTGATCTTTCTGAATAAAGAAAATTTGTAGTGGTTTTGCTGGGACACAGAATGAAAATGTAGATAAGCCATAGCAACAGTATCATAGTAATTTATTTAAAAAAAAAAAAAAGATTTAAATTAGAGTGCTACTTATTTCCAGGCAATCCCTGTAGAGGTGGGAAATTCTAAGAGAGAGCAGTGCAGAAGCTAATCAGATTCAGACAGTAAAATAAAATGTTTTTGGCTGTTTTATGCATTAATTAGACTGGCATTCTGGGGGGAAGAAAGGGCCCCAAATGTGATTCCTGTCTTCTCTCTTACCTGCTCTGATAACGAGCCTTGTTAATAACAGAACACCAGTTGTTTATATTGTTTCTTGTTTCTTTGCAAGGCTCTTATTTATTCTACTTAGTTAGCTTTTCAACAAAATCTAAGCTTTTGTTTATAAAACCAACATTAACCTGAGTGCTCTTTCACTACTGTGATCGGGGTCTTTTGTCTCATGATGATTTCTCTCAGTAAAAGCTAATCTTAAGTACAAACTGATCCATAATTCTGGTAAGTTACAATAGATTGTGTAATTAGTGAAATCAATACAAACTGCAGAGTAACCATGTAATGCTTTCCATTGTGCCATGCTGATTTCAGTGTGACCCTGAAAGGGAGAGCATCATTTTCCAGAATCATTTCTGAAATGTATACACCATAAAGAGATTACAAGATGTGACTGATGATAAGACGGGGAAAAAGCTAGTATTCCCATTTTGTTAAGGGAGCACTGCCCCAAATAAATGAAATGACTCTCCAAAAGTCAAACAGAGAACAATGAATTTAGCCTGGCTTGCTGCTACTTTCTAATATCAGTGTCTTAACCACTGGAATGTTTTGTCCGTGAAGTCTGTGAATCAGGGTTTTAATATGAGTTGCAGTCCTTTATTGGACTATTTATTATTTTAGACTTGGAGACTAGCAAACTAAGTATACTAAATCAGGGAAAGATTAAAATTTCTGCATTTTGTTAAGAGAAAAATGGCAAGAATTAAAATGATTATAGAATCACAGATTGAGGTTGGAAGGGGCCTCTGCAGATCTAGTCCAACCTCCTTGCTCAGAGCAGGGTCAACTAGAGCAGGTTTCCCAGGGCTGTATCCAGTTGGGTTCTGAATATTTCCCAGATTGGAGACCCCACAGCCTTTCTGGGCAACCTGTTCCAGTGTAAAAAAGTTTTTTTCCTGTGTTTAGGGGGAATTTCCTGTATTTTGATACGCGCCCATTGCTTCTTGTCCTGTCACTGGGCACCGTGGAGAAGCGTCTGGCTCTGGGTTCTTTACACCTTCCCCCATCAGGTATTTATACACATGGATAAGACCCTCCTGAGAGCCTTCTCCTCTCAGTCCCAGCTCTCTCAGCCTTTCCTTGTATGAGAGGCTTCAACCCCCTAATCATCTTTTTGGCCCTTCACTGGACTCACTCCAGTATGTCCATGTCCCCATTGTACTGGGGAGCCCAGACAGCGCTCCAGGTGTGATCTCACCAGTGCTGAGTGGAGGGGAATAATTATGTTATCTGGGAAGGAAATTCAGATTGTCTGTCAATCAAATATGTAAAGTTTTGGATAGGAATCCTTGAAAAATGAGGACTGAAATCACACTGAAAATTATAAATACTAATATATCTCGGTAATTTTATGTAGATGAAAAGCTTTGAAAATAGCTTTATTTAGCTTATTTCAACATAGCAGTTGTTTTAGTTTTTA